TTGCGGGTTTGTAGGAATAACGCTAATTACATTTATATGAGGAAGACCGCAGCCACAGGAAATTATCACCATTGTGTTGGCTTTGTTCAGGACGGACTTGCAAGAATAGTAGGCCCGAAACGGCTAAAGTTTTCACGTTCAACACATTTTGGATGTTTGCATGAGGTCATATACTACTTAATTACGTAAAACTAATATTGCTATTAAATTAGTTTACAACATGGCATTTTTAAATATCTTTTTGCTGGGTGGGCATCTATTAATAATTATTATACTATAGACCACGTATAAATTTTTTAAACATGAGAATAAATTTGGAAAACCATAATAATATTCCCAAAATGAGATATTTACTACAGTAAAATCTACCTATAACCAACACAGAGTAGCACATTGGTGACATTGGAGTTTACGGGGGCAGGATAAAATAATTTCAGCAACGGGCCATTTTAATAGTTTACATTATGTACATTTTAATTGCATACAAAAAATATTTTGTTTAATCTGAAGAGTGGTCTACACGACATTCCAATTAATACCGTAGGCCGTTCATTCCGTAAAAGGTTAATTTGCCGTTAGCTATATAGGGTATTCGACCAATAATGCTTTACCCCAGAAAGCTTTTATTAATTGATGTATTTTGATATAGGCTCCTCGACACCCTCAACAGCCGACTCAATAATGACAGTCACTACACAAAAGCGTATGCAGATGATCTGGTCATTCTACAAACAGGGAATTTTAAGAACATACTCTGCGAAAGAATACCAGTAGCTCTCAAAATTATAGAACAGTTCTTGAAGGACCATTCACTGTCTATCAATCCCAAGAATATGAAATTGCCCTTTTTACAAGGAAAAATGCAAAAATTTAACTAAGACATCCCGAACTCCCTGAACACAAAACTAAACTATGCAACAGAGGTGAAATAGCTAGGTCTCACCTTTGACAGCAAGTTACCATGGAACTCACACTTAGAAAACAGAGCCAAAAGAGCATATATTGCTTATAAACAATGCCGCCAAACCGTCGGGTGCACCTGGGAATTTTTGAGCTATGTTAACATACCGTGCAGTTGTCTGCTTCAAGCGATCGTAAACTCCATCTCACCAAAATATATCTTCCATGGGAAAAATAAAGTTATAACAGAATAAATAGAAGAGCCGAAAGTGGTAGGTGCGATATATATTTACACCGAAGGTTTTAAAACAAAACAAGGCTCAGTATGTGGAATATACTCCAGATCCTTAAAACCTAAATATAAAATTGGCTCTAAGCAACAGAGCCAGCGTAATTCAAATAGAGCTCACGGGATTTTCATAGCAGTAAAAGAAATCTTTAGAAATAATAATACTGGACGGAACATGCTCATATATACAGATAGCAGACAAGCACTAATTACTTTGAAGATATTACGAATTTACTCAGGGTTAGTACCAAAATGTCACGAAACTTTGGCCGAAGTATCCATCAACAATGTGGTCCACTTAAAATGGATCAAAGATCACATCGAAAGGTAACCGTGTTGCTCATTCACTAGCCAAGAAGGCAGCCAACCAAATACTTTTTATTACTTGACAGAATCTGCGCCGTGTCACAGGCATTCTGACTGGTCATTGCTAAGGACGAAAACATCTTTATATCATGGAGCTGTCAGAATCCGCTCTTTGCAAAAAGTGATAACAAGAAGATGAGCATATCCTGTAAGATTGCACGGCGCTCTCATTTATTAAAAGTTTTGTGTTTGGCGATATAAGAGAAGCACCTTTTGGCATCTATATTAAATATGCAGGCTGGCTCACGAGCTAAGAGGTGCGTATTATCTTAGGAGGATGCACAATGTGCCGAGTGAGGCCCAAGTGCCAAGGTGTAATCTACGTTACAGATACAGAGTGGCGTAAAAATAGGGGGATAAAAGTTGACACTAACTCTGATAGCGTGCCACTGGATTAATTTTTCAAAAGATAGTTGTGGGGTCTCAAATTTTGATTTGGTCCCACTGTAGATAAATATTTGGAGATTCGATTAATCACCAGAGTAGGAGCTTATTGTTTGAAGGATCCTATCAAATAATTGTTAAAATAAAACCTGATACGTATTAAATGTATAGTAATTGTAAATTCAGTGACAAGTAAAAGTTATAACTGACAGTGTGTATCTAAAAAATTATGTTATTACTTGGCAACCTCGGTTGCCAACGAGGCGAAATTAATTCTTCATTATAGCTGCCACGTATAGTAAGGATATCTAAAAATGTGATCGTGTATTTATGGCGCATGTGTTGCGGAAAGTGTAATATGATCTTGTTATTTTATCTATTTTTATAGTGTTCTTAAGCTCTTATGATTGTTGGGGAGTAGTTCAGGTTATTAAACAACTCGTATTACTTTGAAAAAGGATGTTGAGCGCCACTATATTTAAAACTTTCTAAACTTGACAATCGATTAGTGATGAAAATATAGAAAATCCACTAACCATTAAGATATT